AATGTATGTACTTAAGGGTTTCTTCTATCTTTAGATAGATCAATGTACAGATGTTAGATAGATAGGTAGATAGAAGATAGACAGTTGACAGATGATTGATAGATATAGAGGATAGATATTTTGATATATAGATAACAGGTACAGCTATATGTGTCTTTATAACTCTATGATATGTATATGGAGAGAGAGAAAGAGAGTATCTGTTCACATGGCCGTGGTTGACCTAAACTCATTATGTAGACAGGACTGCCCTACAACTCATAGAATTCTAGCCACCTCTGCTCCTGAAATGCATAAGTTAAAGGCATGCACCACCACGTAAGAACAGAAAGTCCACTCTGTAAGGGGAAATATGTTTCCAGGAGGCTGTGCCTATGCACATAGGGATTGTGCTTAGAGGAGCAGCCCAAGTGCTCTCCCGGACTCTGTAACCTAAGAGTAAGCAAGCACAGGAGGGAGAGAGACAGAGAGAGACAGAGACAGAGAGAGACAGACATTGATACACACACACACACACACACACACACACACACAGACTCTGAAAATTTAACCAAGAAAGTGCTGTAAAGACTTGAAGGCGGGTCTAAGGATCATTGCTATACGTGACATGCTCAGTTCATAGGGTAAAGAGTAAAGGGTGACAATCAATCGCAAGCTAACGAGGTGTGAGCGGTGATCTTATTCCTTCAGACAACATTTAAGGAGTAAACACCCCAAGTAGGCGTTGAGCTGGTCTTCTAAGATTTGTCCCTGCATTAGCTGGTGAGTTTTAAGGGACTGTCCATTGCTAGCCTGACCTTGGCACGCAGAGCCCCTGTCCCATCACCTGATGCTGCCTGATGCTGTGTGGCTCTACAGTTAAGAGACTGGTTTTGACTAGACTCTAAGCAATCATCATTCAGGTCTTCCCTATTGATTTTTCTGTGTTTGAAGCTACAGTTTACTAAAAAGAGAGAGGGACAGAAAGAAAGTTTTAAAAGCATGAACTATCTATTATGTTTACTCTGATCAACTGGCTAGGGAAAAAAAATCATGCTGAGAGTTCATGCCGTTGTTTAAATGTCAAAGGTCATTTTCCATTTCATTGGATAGAAGGATAGGATACACAAATATGGACTGTTTCAACTAATTTAAAAGCATTTTCTCTTACTTAGAGAAGGTGAACATATTAGAAGGAAATTTTCATTTTCATAATTATTGGGAAGAAGAGAGTTTATCTTGCTCACATATAGTATATAAAGCAATTATTTTATTTTTAAAGAAAAAAAATGTTCTATCATTAAGGTTAGAGGCAAGGTCCTGAAGCCTGGTAGGTTCTCTCATCATTCCCTGCTCTTATGACCTCAGCCTGCGTCCCTTAGTTTCTCTATTAACAGGAAGCCGTAATTTGTCCTACTATCAAGATTAAATTTAGGCTCTTTAAAAATGCTTGACAGAATTTATCCAATTATTATTATATAGTCTCATAAATGGTACATAAATATAATGCCTTTTTCTACCATGTATGAATTTAATTTCCATGCGTAGAACCAAAACTTAAGTAAGATAATGCATCTTGTAAGATCAGAAGCCAAGGATGAGGTGCTGTTTGGATCTGGTTGAACTACATTAGTCTAGTTCTTTTTTCAAATGAAATAATTTTCTCATTATCCAAATTAACATTTAAATATTAAGACATAGTACTTTCCTCCAAGTATTTACAGTGAAATGTAGTCTTTGGGAGAAGTGAAACAAAAGCTATTCCCACCAGGCTATTTCAGTGAGGGGCAGGCTAGAGGGTGAGTACTCCATTTCTTATTCTCTCACTTGCAAAGGAGACAACCAGATACAGTCCAGAGAATTTGTGTTCAAGGCTCACAAAGGGAGAGACCTCCAAGTGCATCCAGAGCTGGTCACTCTGATGTCACCAGACACTGTAGTACAGTTCGAGGTTCTGTGCCCTCGACTATAGAGGCTTGACAATTGCCCTCGGATCTTAGGAGTGGTATAGGTGTACATGGCTATTATAGCCTTTTGTGCTTCTGAGAGTTGAGTATCTGAGCTTCATCTGCCATCAGAGTGAAGAGAAACTCATAGACATGTTTCATGTATGGCACAAAGAATCTCAGGAAGAAACCAGGAACACCAGGATTCCCTTGACTGCAGCCTGAGCCAGCTCTCCCCAGCAAAACACTCACCATACAAATGAACAATGGTTGCTCAAGAGCGCCTAACCACCCATTAAAGGAGCTCTAAAAGGAGAGCAACAGAACCAAAAAATCTGGGCAGAGGGTTCTTTTGTGAGACTAATACTCCAAACAAGGACCATGCATGGAGATAACCTACAACCCCTGCACAGATGTAGCCCATGGCAGCTCAGTGTGCAAGAGGGTTCCCCAGTAATAGGAGCAGGGACTGTCTCTGACATGAACTCATGGGCTGGCACTTTGATCACCTCCCCCTGAGGGGGGAGCAGCCTTACTGTCCACAGAGGAAGACAATGCAGCCAGTCCTGATGAGACCTGATAGGCTGGGGTGAGATAGGCTGTCATTGGACTGGGGGAGGGGTATAGGAGAAGAAGATGGAGGGAGAGTGGGACTGGGAGGGGATGGAGAAGGGATTAAAGCTGGGATACAAAGTGAATAAACTGTAATTAACAAAAATATTTTTTTTTAAAGGCATTAGTAGTACCAGCGGCTAAAATGTCACCTGACAGATGAAGTGATGATAAGATAGATTCCTGTGTGGAGTATCAGTAACACTTGGAGAATTCTCTCTAAGTTTGTCCTGCCATAGAAACTGGATTTAGAATCCTTGAGAAACAAATTAAGCCTTTTAAAAGTCTCGCCTTTTGGTGGGCAAGGCCTGGGAACGGGAGGTCTGTAAGGTGTCCTTCATGTAGGACTCATTTCTGATCTTCTATGACCGATTTCATGCAGATGTGGGAGGCATCCTCCATCAGGACAAGCTATCCTAAAGATGTGTAGTCGTCAATCAGCTGCCGGGTTCTTGTTTCTAGAGCACTCCGTGTTTAATGTGAGGGCTGGATGCCGACAGATGCCTTTGGCATGAAGCCTCGGTTGAGATGTGTTTACTTTGACCCAGGGAGGAAAGTGAGATGAAAAAATCCTTGGTGTACAACAACTATAGATGCTTCTTGCTGCACTCTGTATTGTAGAAGATGTTTACTGTGAGCTGACTACGAGAAGCGCTCTCAGGAGCTTGCGGAATGCAGTATTCATACTCTGACGGGATGCAGCCTGTGTGCTGTTTCTCTGTGTGCTTACGCTTAGGTATAGTTTTAAATAAATAATGTCAAAAGTGGGCATACAATTTCTCTCCAAGGGCTTGTGATTACTATGTAATGTAGCTTGTACTCAAAACCCAATAACATTCGAAACTGAAGTGTATGCATAGAGCATTCACCCAGCACAGCAGAGGCATATTCCATAGTGCTGCTGAGAGACTGAAGTTACTTGGGATTAAGCTATTTGGGAATTAGAAATTATAATTAAGGAGCTTTCCTTAGCTCACATTCTTCCTCCCCTCCCCTTCTTCATTTTCTTCTCTTGTTTTCTCCACAGCCCATCCAACAAACTGATATTTCTCCAACAGTTAATGTCCCTATACCCACTAACATCTGTTAATTTATAATCACATAAACATATAATGATTATGTTGATAACTATTTCCAAGGATTGAGGTGACAAGATTTTAGCCAAGTAATTTAGTATACTTTAAACTAGCCAATATTATCCTGATTTTTTTTTTTAAAGTATGAGCTATCAATGTCATTTGTTATATTTCTGGGACCTGATATCTTCTATCATTATCTCAGGTGATGAAAGTATCAACAGGCATAGCGTGTTATCTTATAATCCTCCATTTGCTCACACTTGAGTGTATTTTAAAGAAGACCTTCCACAACATACCAATGAGAAGTATAATCAGAGTTAAACTCACAAGGCTCTGCTACAGTTTGCTCCTAACAGTGAAAACACTGTGTGGGGGAGCTTAAGGACTGTGGACGTGAGTGATGACCCCAGGAAAACCCTTAGGGAAGAAAATTGTTTATCATGCCAGATTCCTGCATCTTTAAAATGCCTGGAATATCTTTGACACAAAATATACCCTGCATGTAACAAATGTCACAAATTGGTGGTTGAAATTTGGGGGAGGAAAGATAAGAGAATACAAAAAGACAAAGTTTTAGAATAAAGAGCAGAGTTGCTCCTGGGCAGATGATTACAAAGAAGCAAAACTCAGGGGACAGTGAGAGGAGAAGAGGGGACAGGCTAAGAGCACACTGGACACTACAGGGAGAGGAGGGGAGGAGACGGGCTAAGAGCATGCCACAGTGAAAGGAGGGAAAAGGACAGGCTAAGAACACATTGGATACTACAGTTAGAAGAGGGGAAGGCCAGAAACCAGGCTTCAAATAGTGAGTCAATGAGTGAGGAAAGCTTCCACAGAAGCTGTCAGTCTCAGGATGTTTCTGCCAAGTGCCCAAGCCTCCTATGGGGTGAGGCTTTTGAAAAGCTTGAGAGGGAGTTGGACACCAAGAGAGTCCCAGTTTCGATTAGGAGAGGAGACAGCTGCTGAAGATGAAAGCAAGGTACACACATATATGATTTGTTTAAACATTCTAATGTCACGAGGCAGTTGAATGCAGTTGACAATTCTACCCAACATTCATACAAATCTCTGCGACCTTTAAGCAACAGTCGGGGCAGTAGGGCTACACTCTGTCACTGTATAAACACTGCATTTAAAAACTTGATGCCTCACTTTAAGGCAAGGGCCTCCTATTTTGTTTCTGCCTGTAGAGCGATCCGTGACTCACTCCCGAGCTGGCTTGCAAAGCCGAGATAGTATTTTTTCAAAGTTTCTTTGCTCCTTGCTCTTACAGACTGACATGCCACGTGTTTATATGTGTACAGTGTGAGCTACAGATACCCTTCTCCCCAAAGAAATCTGACTGAAATTCAAATCTCCACCCTGTCTTTGCTCTCTATTCCAGGAAGTCGATGGCAATAAAGTTATCTCTTCACTAGCCCCGTACAACTCATCTACCTCACCTCAGAAGGCAGAAGAAGGTGGGCGACAGAGTGGCGAGTCCGTGTCTAGCACAGCCCTGGGGACTCCAGAGCGGCGCAAGGGCAGCCTGGCGGATGTGGTGGACACCTTAAAGCAGAGGAAGATGGAAGAGCTGATCAAGAATGAGCCAGAAGGTAAAGGCCGGGAGGAAACTGCTGTGGCCTTCCTGCTTTAAGCAGTTTGATTTAGCTTCTAGTTCTGAGGTTTGGTTTAGATTCCTAAATTGAGCAAATTAGAAACCTGTAACTATGAAGATCCTTTCTGTGTTTCTATCTTTTCTTTCTAGCTTTCTTCCTTTCTTTCCTCCTCTCTTTGTATATCACATACTAAGATTTTTTTTTAAATCATAAATTCATGTTGCAACGTGATCCTTATTTTTATACATGAGTAAGTTATACTTGAGTGAAACTTATAGATTCAAGAATAGAATGCCGCAGCATTGCCCAGAAGATCCACCTACTTGTCACGTATCTGAAGCCTGCATTGTACATCTCTAGTAAAAATTTTCCCCTTAAGGGCCACTTTAGAATTGTGTTACACTTTGTAACCCTTATACATCAATATTTCTTATCCTAACCTTGATCTTGGGTCCACTCCTTGTACATAAAAGAAATGTGATTATAGTTACTTAGAAGTAGCCCCTCTTGGTCTCCCTTTTTTGGACTTTTAGAATTCTTTCTTTTGGGGTTCCAACTTTAAAACTCTCTTTCATACTTATTGGTAGCAGCCAGAGCTTGATATACATATGTGCAGGACTTATCTTAAAAATAAAACAAAGAAAAAAGAAAAAAAACTTGCTAGCCTGTTCAAGGTTAGATCCTGATGTTAACTTGTTCCAGTTTAACCCTGGTTGGGTCTGGGGCTCAACATGCAAGAGCAAACTGCCCTCTTTCTCAGCTGCAACTTCCAAGTGAGCAAACCAACAAACAGTGGAGAGGAGATGATCGCGTGTCATGCCTGACCAACAGTGTGTGAAAGCCAATACACTGCATTGTCCAATTTGGATCTGTGAACCCTTTCAAATTACTCTTTTAAAGGTTAGGCTCTGTGTCTGGATCCTTGAGTTTTTTGTTTTGTTTTGGTTTGGTTTTATTGTCACATCATCCTTGTCCTCTAATTGTTCCGGCACCATTTTCTGAAAGATGATCCTTGTCCACTGAACACCTTTGCTCCTTTGTAAAGGAGACTGACTGGATGCTTGCACTGTGTGTCTGTTCTGTATCTTGTTCCATCAGGTCATTAGACTTTTCTTTCCTTGATAATTATGCTGTCTTAATGAGCAGAGCTTGCTTGACAAGGAGTATTGCCTTGGGTAGCATCATTTCCAACTTCTGTCCTTTTCTTTAGGATTTTATGGATCAGTCTGAGCCTACGGTCTTTCTCACAAACTCTACAGTCAGTGTGCATATATCCAAAGAACCTTGTTGAGTTGACTGGGAATGCGTGTGCGTGTAGATCACACTATAAAGAAGACATGATTGTTCTCATCCACAAACAAAATATTTTTTTCAGTTATTACAATCTTGGTTCTCTCACAGTTTCTACATATATAACATAGATTGATTTTTTACTGCATTTGTGCTTGTTTATTACCATTTTGTATAAAATGAAAAGATAAACAAGAATCATACTATTATTGATTTCAAATTTTAACTGCTAGCTGATAATATGCAAAAATTCCATGTGCTGTCCTTCCATGTCCATGGGCTCAGATTCAGTTCCAGCAGTTTTGTTGGCTGTGAGATTTTCCATGTGGGCAAGCATTTCATCCACGAACTGAGAGTTGCATTTATTTCATCTCTCAGTGAAGATTTTATTATTTTTATTTCTTCTTACATGTTAAGACTTCTTGTAGATTATTGGTTAAGAGTGGGAAGAGGGGATACGAGCCCCTGGCTGTGTTCTTGCTTCTAAGAGCCAGGCTTCTTGACACACCATGATGGAGGATGTTTGCTGTAGGATTTCGTAGGTGATGCTTCAGGACTTACTTTCCTCCTTGTTCTATTTTTCTAGGAATTTGGAATTTTACCTATTAATATAATACACACAATCACTGATCATTATTACCTATTAGTATAATACACAATCATTGATCTTTAAATTCTCAAGGAGATTTTTCAGACATTGATATACCTAGCAAACTTGCCCTAAACCCTCTGGGCCACACTTCATAGTTCTTTTGACCTATTTTGGGATTTGACTTGCTCAGATTTGTTGAGGATGTCACAAATGAGCCATGAGGTACTAAATTAGTTCATAATTTTCTTATGAGTAATATACATCTCTGGTTCAGTGCTCGCTTCAGATACGAAGTTGGATTGATCATGTGTTAATTTAAAATCACAGCTTTTGATATGTTCTGAATGCGAGGATAAGAACTATGGTGGTTTGTTTTGTATACTCTATTCCAAGGAATTTGGGGAGTTATTTTGAGATGATTCAATTAAAGGAAATTTTGTCTGTGACATTGTCATTTCTCCACTGTATTGAGTTGGCTAATGGTAGATGCATAAACTCTTAACTTGGAAGTAGATGGCAGGCCTAAACCCAAAGAATAAATCTCAGTGGGAAAGATAGCCACAGGTGGTACCCACAGTATTTGACATAAGATACACAGGAGCACTGAGATTTAGAGGAGAAACTCAATTCCCAGTAGCTGTTACGGCAGAACATCAAGGATGGGTGTCCATAGTAGGAAGGATCGGCACTAGGAAACAGCATTATTGCGTATGATGCTTAGAAGCATTTCTTACTATATCTCCATCAGTAATGTATATGAATGTACTTCCTCCTCTTAAAATACTTAAATGCTCAGGCAAGAAGGGACATATTACTTGATAGAATAAGCTCGTAGGAATGTAAATTGAACAAGGCAAGAATTGAAAAGTCCGAGTTTGGGCTGAGACGAATCTTCGTTGGGAAGAACACCTGCCGTGCTAACATGATAACCTACCTGGAAGTCGCACTTACCACAAGTAGGCGTGACCGCGTATGTGCCTGTAAACCCATGTGTGTGCTGTAGGGGACAGGAATAAGTGGGTCCTCGGGGCTTTGGTGGCCACCAGCCTAGCTTCTGTCCCAAAGGAATTATAGTCTGATGGTGTCCTCTTTTGGCCTCTGTGCATGCATAGGCATGCCAACCTGTCTATACGTTATATTCATATGTGTACCACACTCATAGACACACTATCCATATATACACACATGCACACAGACTCCCTCATCTCCCTCCTTGAGTTCCAGAAACAATCTCTGTATGAAAGAGCATTAAATAGCTTTTACACCCACATACGCAAGTTACCCAGAGCTTCCTCTGAATATTCAAGATTACAGACCTATTCTGACGGATAGTTTGCCCTGGTAACAATGTATATGCATTTTAAAATATTTTGTGTGCTGTTTTGAGACATGGTCTCATACTGTAGCCTATGTTTGCTTAGGGCTCAGTATGCAGCCCAGGCTGGCCTCAAATGTTTGATGGTCCTCCTGCCTCTGTGTCCCAAGTGCTGGGATTAGTCATGAGCCTCCATGACTATTTCAAGAATAAATATCTAGTGACTGAAACAATTTACAGACGTATAAAGATGTAATTTATATCTGAGTAAAGCCATGTTCTTATTCAGGAAGAAGTAATATAAATTGCAAAGGGAAAAGCATGCACAATTGTAATTTAGGAGATTGTAGGTCTTGCATCAACTTGAAGCTCTGTTGGCCTTCAGGACATCGTTGATCAAAGGGTGTTGGACATGCCTGAGACTGGCTACTCCAACCTGCCTTCCCACTCATTCACAAGGGTTCATGAGCTGAGGCTCTCTCATTACCTAGCATCAAAAGATAAAATATTCAGTAATCTGTCTGAAGGGAAAAATGCAAAACAAGTCGGTGGAGAAGCCACAAGCCCCTGTTGCAGCCCCACGGAGAGAAAGGCATGGGAGCAGGGAGGGGGTGTGTGGGCTGAGTGCTAAGTGCACAAATGGATGCCACAGGATGGATCTTTCTCCTCTAGATATTTGTCCATTGTCTTTCAAAGGCCATTAAAATGAGCAGCAGGTTGTGATGAAGATTTCATTAAGCCCAGTGAAATCGTTATGAGGGGCCATGTTCACATCTTGGCTTCCTCTTGTGGGGTGGGGGTGGGGGAGCAGCTCTCATTACAAAGACCACGTTATCCCCAGCTCCAGTCTGCCAACAGCAAGCCAACAGGGACAGGGAAGCTGGAAGAGGAGGCTCGGCCCTGGGAAGGGAGGCCAGGGAGGTGCGCTCGCAGTCAGAGAGTACAGGTGCATCCAGGTGGCAGAAGCGAGGGCTCTGCTTTCCTCTAGCCTGGGCTTCTGCCAAGTAATGAATTAGAACAATTCAAACATATATTAAGAGAAAAGCATATAACTTTCTTGCTTGTGTTTTTAGTCCTTCAGAATTTTGGTCTGTCCTTATCAAAAAGGATCTGGTCATACAGATTCTTAACGTCCATTCTTTTAATCTATCTATCTATCTATCTATCTATCTATCTATCTATCTGTCTGTCTGTCTGTCTGTCTGTCTGTCTGTCTGTCTGTCTGTCTGTCTGTCTATGTATCTACATGTGCAAGTACAAGTCTGAGTATATATGGAGATAAGAACAATTTGTAGGACTTAGTTCTTTTCTTCGACAATGCAGGTTCCAGGGATTGAACTCAGGTCATCGGGCTTGGAGGCAGGTGCCTTTACCCACTGTGTTTCTATCTTTTCTTTCTAGCTTTCTTCCTTTCTTTCTTTCCTCCTCTCTTTGTATATCACATTACTGTCCATGCTTGCTTTAACTGATATGTGCTGCTAAATTCATAGGAAACCCAAGGAGTATATATCAGCCTTTCTTTTGCAGTTGATAATAAGTCCTTGGCCTCAGCCAACCTTTCGTAGGTATGGCAATTGAAGATAGACATGACACTTACTACTTTGACAAATAACATGTCACTCCTCATTATGGCATTGAGTGCAATGATGTATTGGGGAAATCTTTAAAATCTACAAAATTATAATTAAATTATGAAAATTATATAATTAACATAAGGCAAGTGTCTACCACCTTATTGCATGTGATTTAAGATATTTTGCCTAGCTTTCACACCTGAGCTATGTGCACAACGTTGCCAGA